TAGCAGCCCTATCAACCAGCACACAAGTCAAGGTCTCCATAAACAGATTCCCTCAGCTTGTCAGACACCCATGTGTGTATGTGTGGACATGTATATACATGTCTACTTTTATAGACACATGTATAGGTGTAAATATTGTTATATGTATATATATGTGTGTATATATACTTGTACATGCAATATACACATGTGTACATAAATATACATATATATATATATATTTGTATATGTATATTTTTATGTATATGTATATGTATATGTATATGTATATGTATATGTATGTGTGTACATTTGCATGTATATAGACGTGTGGAAAATTTTGCACCTTTTCTCGTAGAGAATCGTCTTCGTGGAATAAGGTATATGCTAAGCCCGAGCACACATGCATATTTATAGACGTGTCGAAGCATGTATAGGAATTAAAAAAAAAGAAAAACTGATGTTTGAGGAGCCAAGAATCCGAGGCGGAAGATGTGCAAAGGATCCCTGCGAAAGAATTCAGGGGCTCGAGATGGAAAGGATTGCCAGTTGTCGAAAGGTATTTGCGCCATACTCGGCAGCTGTCGCCATGGAGCAGACTTGCCGATGGTCTTTGTCCACACTGCATTTGCGTTGGCGTCCTCAAAAGGGACATCCGGAAAGCCAGCCTCGCATTCCATGCACACAGGGATGTCCTTAGCCCTTCCCACGTGCTCGTAGCTCCTCATCAAGCCAGCATCACGCAGCGAGACGCAGTGGAATTCAAAGTCCGCTTTTAATCCCAGAATTGCAAAGTAGTAGCGGCGGCCTTGCACCAGAAGGCCATTCTCAAACAGCTCTCGAAGCTGACTTGACAACGATTTCCAAACGTCCGCTAGAAGCTCCGGGGGCCACTGCTTGCTTGGAAAAGCAAAGAGAAGGAAGCGGGTCAAGTAAGAGTGGTACTTCCCATTGCAGCGTTGCCCAGTCTGAAGCACCGGTTCTGCGCACGTGCATTTTTGGGGTTCGACGCGCCCAATGCCCAGGGTAGGCTCCAAGCTGAGGATCTGCAAGGGTTGCCTGGGCTTTATAAGTCGTTTAATAAGCAGGTCAAAGGTACTTGTACATATAATAGGAAACATATAACAGGAATTGCAAACTTTCCCAAACTGCCACCTACTTGCTTTTTCTGTGTACGCCCACCATCACCATGTAGGCTAAGTGGTATTGTCCAGCGCAAACGCTCAGCAGGTGACCCAAACACAGCATGCGAGGAATGCATGCTTCGATATCGTGCCCAAAACATGGCTAGCCCGCGGTTGGCAGCTTCATCAGCCATAGTGTACCCTCCCAAAAGCAGGTCAGCATGGTCGCTTAGTAGGTATCCAAGCACGTCTTTCGGGGCCAGGTAAGGCAGAGTGAAGGTTTCGCTACCAACTCTCAAGATATGATGTGAAATGGGGATACGAGGTCGAAGTCCAAATTTCGAAACAACCTTCCCCACATGTCTGGCAGAGTTCTGCTCAGACAGTCCCAAAGCAATACCAAGATCTTCTCGGGTGGCTTCCACACCCTTCTGCAGGACCATCGCCCTCTGATGAGCCGTGACAGAGCTGGCTGGTGCCTCGGCTTTGACCAAATTCGGATGATGTGCATATATACACATCTTTAATAAATGTGTAACGACATAAACAGACACACATGCATGTGTTAATTTCACCTATGCTAGATAGACCTAGTTGCGTGTTTGCATGTCTATACATTGCATGTGCTGTGCAGCAGTATCAACTGAACTTGTGTTTCAGACTCCCATCAAGTGGCAGAGTACCACAGGGCCTGAACGAAAGCATGTTAAGTTGTTGTTTTGTTTTAACTCGCGATCTCTCTCTCTCTCTCT